AAATTTCAGAAAAAAAGGGTGAAGACAAAAAATACCAATATTGAGAATGAGAGAAGTGACATCATTCTATACTATACAAAACATTAAAAAGATAGTGAGGAAATAGCGTAAATAACTTGGTGGCTAAGATTTGGTAGATCTGATGAAATGAATAATCATTGAAAAACTATCAAAGCTCACTCAAGAGGAAATTGATAACCTGAATAGCCTTGCATCTATTAAAAAATAGAATATTTAGCTTAAAATCTTCCCATAAAGAAAACTCTAGGGGTGCCTGGGTGGCTCAGTTGGTTAAGTAACTGCCTTTGGCTCAGGTCATGATCCTGGAGTCCTTGGATGGAGTCCCACATCAAGCTCCTGGCTCAGCGGGGAGCCTGCTTCTCCCTCTGACCCTCTCCCCTCTCATGCTGTTTCTCACTCTCTCTCTCTCTCTCTCGCTCAAATAAATAAATAAAATCTTTAAAAAAAAAAAAGAAAACTCTAGGCAAAAATGGCTTCACTGGACCATTGGCTTCAAAAATGGCTTCAAAGGACCAATTCTATGCACTCCTTCCAGAAAATTCAAGAGGAGAGAATACTTTCCAACTTACTTAATGAGACCAGCATTATACTAATTCCAAAAATGAGACAATGATATTACAAGTCAAGAAAACTACAGACTAATGTCCCTCATAAATGTAGATGCAAAAATTGTTAACAAAATTTTAGCAAATTGAACCTAACAATACATGATAGGGATAACACTTTATTACCAGATAGAGTGCATCCCAGAAATCCAAAGTTGGTTTAACTTTGAAAATCAATGTAATTTGTAACAATTGTTTAAAAAATAAAAATCACATGATCATCCCAATAGATGCAAAAAGGCATTGACCTAAGTGTGAAACCTAAAACTAGAAAAATTCTAGATGAAAACATAGTAAAAATTCTTTGTGACCTTGTATTAAATATAGATTTCTTAAATATGGCACAAAAGGTATGATTTTATGATTCACTGAAGAAAAAATTGATAAATTGGACATCATCAAAATGTAAAATGTCAGAGCACCTGGGTTGGGTTAGTCAGTTAAGCATCTGCCTTCTGCTCAGGTCATGGTCTCAGGGTCTGTGATCAAGCCCCACATCGAGCTCCCTGCTTCTCCTTCCCCCTCTGCCCGCCCCCCCAGCTCACACTGGCTCTCTCTCTCTCTTTCTTGCTCTCTCTCAAATAAATAAAAATAAAACTTTTTAAAAAATGTAAAATGGGGGCACCGAGGTGGCTCAGTCATTAGGCGTCTGCCTTCGGCTCAGGTCGTGATCCCAGGGTCCTGGGATCAAGCCCCACGTCGGGCTCCCTGCTCAGCAGAAAGCCTGCTTCTCCCTCTCCCACTCCCCCTGCTTGTGTTCCCTCTCTCACTGTGTCTCTCTCTGTCAAGTAAATAAAAAAATAAAATCTTAAAAAATAAAATAAAAAAATAAATGTAAAATGTCTTCTCTTCAAAAGACACTTTTAAAATAATGAGAAGATGTCATAGGCCAGGAGAAAATATTTGCAAATTATGTATCTGATCAAAGATTTGCATGCACAATATATTTTAAGACACACATACTCAAAACTCAGTAAGAAAATAACCAAACGAATTTTTTTTTCACAGGCAAAATATCCAAACAGACACTTCACCAAAGAAGATACATTGTTGGTAAACAGGCAAATCAAGAGATGCTCAACCCCAGTAATGAGGAGATGCAAATTGAAAACACAATGTGATACCACTACCCTCCACCTACACTGGCTGGCATCAGTAAACATTGACTATACCACGTGATAGCAAGGATACTGAACTCTCACACACTACTGGTGAAAAATGTAAAATGGTACAAACCTCTTTAGAAAACAATTTGGCCATCTTGTACAAAATGTACACCTGACCTATAGTCCATCTATTCCATTCCTAGGTATTACCCGAGAGAAATGAGAATATCTGTCCAAAAACTTGTACATGAGTATTCATAACAGCTTTATTTGTGATAGCCAAAAACTGGGAAGAGATAACCACCAGTAGGTGAACAGATAAATAAATTGTAGTATATCATTATAATGGAATACTACTTGGCAATAAAAAAGGAATACATTATTGATACACTCAATAACATGAGTGAATCAAAATAATTATGCTGGGTGGAAAAAAACAGACATAAAAGAGTATAATTCATACACCATTTACATTAAATTCTAGGATATGGAAACAAATCTATAGTGACAAAAGGCAGATCAGTGGTTCCCTGGGGACAGAGGGACAGGGGCAGAGAGGGAGGGGATCACAAAGGGGCACAAAGAAACTTTGGGGACTGATGGATATGTTCATTATCTTAATTGTGGTGATGGCTTCAGAAGTGTATACGTATGTCCAAACTACCAAATCATACACTTTAAACATGTTCAGTTAATTGTGTATCAACTATATCTCAATACTGTTAACAAATACATCATAAATATTAAACACACAAAAAAATATATACGGAAAATGTATGTACTAGTTTTATGATTACGCTGATGCATGGGACTCTGAAACTTTTAGCAGGTCTAAAGCAACTTGTTTACCTTCCTCCACGCTTCCTCTTTCTATACTGTTAATGAACGACCCTCCCTCCCACTCAGCCCCCCAAGTAAGAACCTTTGCCTCATCCCAGACTCTACTCTCCTCCTCAGACTCTGGCCCTTCCCTATGACACTAGAGTGCCACCACTCTACTCCAGGCACATTATTGTTTTTTCTCATTGTTTTTTCTCCCTCAAGCCTCACCCCCCAGCTACACCCCTCTACCGTAACCAAAGAGGTCTTTCGGAAATATAGAGAATTGGTCATGCCATGCCCTTCAGTGGCTTTACATTCTCTTCAGGATACAGTCCTTATCCGTGGCTAGTGCTATCATGCCTTACTCAGCCAGGCCCTTACCAGCGTCTCCTGGCTAAAAGTCTACCAACCAGCCTCCTCTTCCCATTCCCCAAGCCACTTCACATTCCCACTCAATTACTTGCAGCTTCCTGAATAGGGTGTGTCGTGTCATACCATCAAGCCTTTATTCAAGCTTCTCCCCTGCGGTTCCTGCCCCTCCAGAGAGCAGGGACCAAATCATACTGGCCTTTCTCACTCAGCACAGACCTGTAAAATACCGAAGCAGGCTACCCTGCTGTAAGCCAGCTTGCAAAAAGTCAATTTACAAAACTGACTCGTTTCTTTTCACCATTTTGTTTCAGGTGATTAGGTTTTCGTTTGTCTTCACAACACCATTTTCAGGAAAGCTCGATTTTGTCTGTTTCGCTTCCCTTTTTATTCATGAGAAGATATTCGTAAGAAGAAATCATTCACTGACGAGAGCAGATGCTCAGTAAGTTTATATTAAACAGACACCTGCTTCTGTTATCAAAAATGCAAAATTATGATTGGCCAAAAGAGTAAACGCAAGGCAAGCACCTATTTCCCTAGAACAATGTCTGAGAAGGCTTTCCAAAGCTCAGGCTCATCCTCTGGTTTTCTTTTTCAGTTTCACAGAAGTGTTTACTTTACCCCAGGGCATGAACTCCACAGTTTGTGAAACAAATTAACTGGAGCTAGCAACGGTTGGCTTCAGGTGGGAGAAAGTAAGAAGGAAAGCCCCGAATTAGCTGGGCGCTTGGGGGGGGTTGATTGGATGTGTGCTCGTATGTGGCCACAAGGGGGTGCCAGCCACCTTGGTAAGCAGCCAAACCTGCGTGAGAGGCGCCCCGCTGCTCCCATCTGCCCTGTGGCCCACGTCCCTGAAAGATTATCACTATGGACAGAAGCGTCTTGATTGACAGGTCTCTTCAGGAAAACAACAACTCCAAAAACAACTCAAATATACAACTAGATAGTTGTATATTTTCTAAGTGTTTCCTCTAGAACATTGCTTGGTTTCGCTTACAGCTATCATTATGTGTTCTCTAGCTATTTGAGGCGAGGAAACCGAATTGATGGGAAAACAGACATGGCTTAGGGGTTCCAGATGTTCAGATACGCTACAGTATCAGGCAAGGATTTATTCTAGTGCCTCACCATCAACTTCATTTGAAATAACGTTAAATTAAATCGGATAGCTAAAACAATGAATAGCACCTACACAGAGGAACCAGGGTTAAAACAAACAAAAAAAAAAAAAAAGGAGAAAAACAGAATTCACTTAAAAAACAAAACAAACAAAAACAAAAAGACAAACAAAACCAGGCTGTAAAGGATCCCTGTCACCAGACACTGAAATTCAGGGAGCAGCTGGCTTGTTCCTTTAGACTCACTCTAGCCTATAGTGACTGACTTACTTCGCATTATTTCCCCTATATCAAGTCCTTCAAGGGATATTCTCTTTCTCTTCAAATCTTTCAGCGGTGAAAATGCTCTTACTGGAGGGTAATAATAACTTAATAAGTTTGGGGGGAAATGAAATATAAAATTATATGATAATTCAGCTTAAATTTAAGAGACTATACTACTTACTGTCTTTTTTTTTAAGATTTTATTTATTTATTTGAGATAGAGAGAGGGAGAGAGAGCGAGGGGGAGAACGATAGAGCGAGATCACCAGCAGAGGGGGAAAGGTAGAGGGAGAAGCAGACTCCCCGCTCAGCGGGGAGCCCAACGAGGTGGGGCTCGATCCAAGGACCCTGGGATCATGCCTGAGCTGAAGGCAGACGCTTAACTGATTGAGCCACCCAGGCGCCCTACTATTGACTGTCTTAATAAGATGACCTCATAGGTCAAGATAGAAAAAGCCAAAGATAAGTAAGTTTCTTTCCCCGAGTTTAGGCAAGGGAACTGGCCCAGAGCATTCTCTCTCTTCTACAGAGGTACCGGTTTGTAATTCTTCTCACTGCACTTATTTGAATGGAATAGGAGAGTTTATGAAACACCATGCAACCCAAGTCTCAAACAAGGACATAACTTAAATACAAACTAACCAAAGAAAAGGAGAAGGAGTGTAAATTCTTTACCTAACTGATCAACTCACCCACATAAAATGCCACTGTGCTGTGATCCGCAACTCGAGATCCTGAGCACTTTTATGGACCACGAGGAAAAGACATCCTAGCTCTTAAGAAATAAAAATCCGAACCATGAGAGACTATGGACTCTGAGAAACAAACTGAGGGTTCTAGAGGGGAGGGCGGTGAGGGATGGGTTAGCCTGGTGATGGGTATTAAGGAGGACATGTACTGAATGGAGCACTGGGTGTTATACGCAATGAATCATGGAACACTACATCAAAAACTAATGAAGTACTGTATGGTGATTAACATAACATAAAAAAAAAAAAGAAATAAAAATCTGCCTCCAACTGCCCAGCGTTTAAGTCTCAGTGACCGTAATACCCCAGGGTAGGGAGCTTGTCTCCACCTGGCAACCCAAGGACCGCCATAATCATCACTGCTCCACCATCTCACCTCCTGCAAGGTGCAAGCACAAGAGGCTGGGAAGGCATCGTTGGAACCCGAACAAGATCACAGAAAAGATCCACCATTCCCCAGAGAGGCAAGTCAACTACTATTGCACTCATCCTGGCTTAATTGTTTTGCTTTGTTTTGTTTCATTTTTCTGCGCTGGTCTTTATTACTGTGGATGTTTATACAGAAGTTTGGTCACTTTTACCTTCCTAATGAGTTCCCCATTGTTTATGGTGACCATGACTATACCACAGCATCACATAATTTAAGTACCAAAGAAGACATACCGCCCTTTTTTAAAGTTTTTAAAGTTTTGACTGAGACTATGCCTTAAAAAGGACATAACTATTTTAAAAAATTAGATAAATAACAAAAAAGTAATCTAACAGCCCTCATCAATATGAGTAGGAAAGAAAGAAAGAAAGAGCGAGCCTAGAATAGTGTCTGGCAAACTTAAGAAATATCTATTAAGTAAGCGAATGAATCTCTTGGGAGATGGTAAGTAAATAGACATTGAGGATCATTCTGTGTCATTTTAGACCTTCAACATGTCTGAGGTGCCACTCTGTAAGAAATAATAAACACAGTGGCATTATGAGTTATACATGCTTATTCAGTGCTGGTTCACTGACGATAAACTGTCCATTTGGACCACAAGCCAACAATTTGAAAAGCCCCGTTTACTCACCCTTCGGTGTGGAGACAGCTTCCTACATGCTGGTTTCTAGGTAGGTTTCTAGGCTCAAACTCACCGTGTTTGCTGTGCATACTTACACAGCGGCTCAACTGCTGCCTAAGGCTATGAAGTTCTTCCACAAAACGTATTTCCCTGCAGACTTGTAACTGGAGTTGACCAAAAACATCTTCCATGAAGAAGGACAGAAGCTGTTCTTGGAATCTGCAGTTTTTCTATAAATGACATATAAGAAATTGCCTAAGGGAAAGCACCAGTACCTTTTGTAAAATGTCGCTGAAATACCCGCCTGATTATAACTTAATGGCCATCTGGAAAAATTAAAATGCAGGGGAGAAAGCATCAAGCAAGTAGAAAAACAAAAAAGACATAAACCCTCTGGCTTACCATAAATAGCTTTTTTGTTTTCTTTTTTAATAATCGTATATTTTTTATGTGGTCTTCCTACAATAAAACAAAGAGAACGAAGTTTCATCCAGAATGACAAATGTCTTTTTGGCCATCATTTTAAGCAGAGCCCAATACTTACTGGAATTGTTGCTTTGAGCCATGCTGCCTTGACGTACAGTGTGTCAACAGCTTGGGACAGTGTTCCCCTTGGGTAACAACCTTTCATGGAGGAAGATGGTTTGTGCTTGGCAATGGCAAGAGACAGAGCGACAAACATCAACCCAGACCTCCAAATGCAATCCACCTGCATTTCCCTCCACCCCACTCTGGGCTCGTGTCACTGTGGCAGCCAGAGAGTTTCTTGTGCTGGTGAGATGACTGGATAACCTACTTACTTGAGCTCTCAAGGCCACCTCTCCGATGAGATGCTGTGGTAGATAACTTACAGTGTACACAGAGGAAGATCACTTTGGTTGTTCCGTTTTTTTAGAGCTTGCTTCATAACCAAAACTACTTTGACCACACCATCTATGACGTTTAGAAAAAGCTCAAGCTTACTGGTAAAGGTTGGGGGCCCCTTTTAAAAAAATGTCAGAATTTCAGTTGCATATCACAACAGATTCATTATTTTTTAAAAGTCATGCCAAGCCAGTAAGAGACTGATCTCCAGGAGGCTATGTGATTTTTTTTTTAATTCCCATATGGGAAAAACAAAACAGAACAAAAACCTCCTTTCTAACCAATATCCCACCCCCCCCAAAAAAAATTAACTAAAGGTAGATTGGACAGCCCTGGGAAACCCGCTCATGATCTCATATGGGTGTTACATGTCTCCCTGGCCAAGCCCTTCACCCAGCTCCCCCCTCCCCTCAGGGATCACCATTCTTCAGCCAGCATCAAGACCCAAGAGAGGACTTTTCCAGTTTTCCTCAAGAATCTTTCCAGCTCAGAAATTGTAACCCCCTTAACATACTCAAGATTTGTTTGGCACAGGACCTGGGATTAAGGCTCACAGTTCAGTAAATTCTCTATCATCTCTGTCCAAAATGACCCCCCAGACTTCCCCTCTAGCTCTAGACTTCGAGTAGTGTGTACATTTCTTGAGGAAAGAGACCCAAACTTTCCATCTCTGAATCCTCAGCATCTCCCATGCTGCCTCCTCTAAAGAGGTACATCCAATATTAGTTGACTAAATACTTTCTTTTCCACATCATGAAATGCTACTGTAACTGCATTGTTTTTCAATTTATTCCATCAACAAATTTCTGTCCAGGCTCTGCTTACACCAAGACCAGCGCTAGATACTAGGGGCTATGAAGGCAGGTGCTCCATGGAATTGTGTCTTCAGTTCTGTCCCAGTCCTCCTTATGGTGGTAGGTATGGTTCATTTGAGGTGGCAGCCCCAAGGAGGAGAGGACGTAGCCTAGAATCATATAATGAGAAGCAGAGACAGGCCACCAAAGCCTAGCAGGCGTAGAGTTAATGTAGACCTGGGCAAGGCAATACTAGGAATCTGGGCATGAGCAAGAGATGCCTCAAAATTCGGCAGAGTCAACTACAAGCATCAGAATCCAAGACTAATGTCTAAACCAAGACAACCAGGCTAGCAAAGGGGCAAGGAGAAAGTATGAATGAAAGGTCCAAACACTTGGGAATATTTCCTGCTGTTTCAAAAAGGAAGCAGATTCGGAAGGGCCCCAGCCTCATCTCCGCAGGACCACCTCTGCTGACAAAGACTCAGCCTCTGAAGTGATATGAGAGCTGTTTTACAAAGAGCTACAGCAGAAAACCGCTGCTTGGGAGTGCAAAGGGGGGGGCGGTCACTGAAATTTTAGAAAAATTCAGGAAAAGGGAAAATTATTTTTAGCTGGGTGTAGCTTAAGCTTTAAGTTTGAACTGGGACATGAAATACCTTAAGGTGCGTGTATGCGCGTGTGCGTGTGTGTGTGCGCGCGTGTGTGTGCGTGTGTGTGGTGTGTGTGTGTGTGAACTGAGTAAATGCCTATTATTCCAAATTCCTTTAGACAAAAGAGCTGGAACACCAGGGGTCAAAAGCCCAAATGCCTTCAGAGGGTGTGGGATTAACATGAACACCCTGAGTGGGTGGATATAGGACAATTGGGACTAAATTGCTTATTGGACCACCAAGCCTAAAAGCTGCCTATTAACACACTGAAAGGACCATAGACATACTTCCAGGAGCTATGTACTGCCTCGAGCAGCTAATTTGAGGTCCCTCGTGTGTACCAACAAAACGTAAGTGCGACGCAAATGGCTAATATTGATAAATGAAATCAGTGTATGTTCTGTTTTTTAACTCCTGCTAGTTGCATTTACATCAATGTCTCATGTCTCTCAAACCATCATGACCCAAGGAAGATCATACACATCCCAAGGATGCCTCTGCTTTGGTTTACAACCGACTCAAGGAAACTGGTCATTTCCTTATGACCGAAAACTATATCACCCTGTTTATCATAGTGATCCTGTGCCTTAGTTGGTAGATCTGCCTCATTAGGGTTCTTCAAACAATCAAATCTGATCTCAAAGGATGAATAATGATTAATATAAAGATGATACTCAAAATTCAGGTCCTAAACACAATTCCAAAAGGGGGCTCCAAAAGTGTCCCAAATAACAGAAGAACCATTAGAATAAGTACATAATGTCCTTGGGGCACCAGTTTGAAACAAAGGCTCTGCTCATCTGGAGGTATTTTTATTATATCACTTTCACAAGTTCCTTATACAGAACTATATAAAAATGGCTATTAATTACAAGGAGATTTGGTTTTGAAACTCAGATCCAACTATGCTATGAGTTGTAGAGCCATGGGAAAGTTATTAATCCTCTCTGAGCTTCAGTTTTTGTCATCATTCAAACGGTGCAATAATTGTACCTACTTCAGAGGGCTGTCATGAGCAACAAATAGGGTGATATAAGTAAAATGCTCAGCACAATACCAGCTATGGATGCACTCTGGAAGTGGTTTTACTATTGCATTATTATTTTTCAAATAATAAATGTGTCTCAGTCTGTCCAGGCACTATAACAAAATACCACAGACTGGATAGCTTATAAGCAACGGAAATGTATTTCTCACCATTCCGAAGGCCAGGCAGTCCAAGATCCACATGTCAGTATGGTCACACTCTGGTGAAGGCTCTCTTCTGGGTTGCAGACAGCCAATCTCTCCCTGTATCCTCAAATGGTAGAGGGGCAAGGGATCTCTCTGGAACCTCTTTTATAAAGGCACGAATCCCATTCATGAGGACGCAGCCCTTGTGGCCTACCCGCCTCTCAGAGGCCCCACCTAATACCATCACCTTGGGGTTTAGGTTTCAACATACAAATCTGAGGAGGAGGGAGGCACAAACATTCAGACCATAGCAAAATGCATGTGCAATAAATACTCTGAATAATGTTGAAGTTTATCACAAGCTTTCAGAAGTTTGGAGAGATGGTTGAAGAAAGTGAGAAAAGTGAAGGATGCACAATGATCTGACAATATTTCAAACAGTATGTGGCATGAGGAAGTCAGTTTACCCCACACACATCCAGAAAGCAGACTAGGACCATTAGGTGGATATTTTAGGGCTGCCACTCCTACATAATGTATAGGAGAACATTAAAGCAATTGATCTGCCCAGAAGCAGAATTGGCTACCCCAATTCCCAAATGCCGCCATGGCAGCCATTTCCCTTAAAATTCAGCTCTACCCCCACACACCCAAAAGAATGCTAGCTGCTCTTTCTGATGGTCAAGCATATCCAATGAGCAAAGGGAGGCTCATGCAGAGAATCACAGCTCACTTGGAGATCTCTGTGATTGCAACTTTGTATCTGCTCCTCTGTAGGAGGGGAAAACAAATCAAAACAAAACAAAAAAACCCGATTGGGATTCCTAAATTGTTAACCCATTTCACTGACTCTAAGACACGTTTGTGGTTTGGCTTTTTTCCCCCCACATTTTAATATCTCTGAAATTACCACCTGTTTTATGATCCATAGAGTCTGATGATTACATCACCAAGTCAGCCCCTGGTGCAGTAGTCCCTTCCTGTGCAGTCCCTTCCAATCGTGCCCCTACTTGGAACTGTGTGCGGGGCTGTTACTACATGTGTTTTTAATTGCTATTCAAATATCTTTAGAAAGATTGCACTATGATTCAGCAATGAAATAAAAGTTAATGTGTTCACAGAAAGGCACAGAACAACGGTGGGATGCAAATCTGCTATTAGAGAAGCAAATATTTATCTCTGGAAGAGTGACTAAAATTACATATTTTTTTGCAAGGCAACAACCGAGTGCTAAATGTGCTAAGAAAGCAAAGACTGATGAATCACTGAACTCTACCTCTGAAACTAATAATACACTACATGTTAATTAATTGAATTTAAATTTTTAAAAATAAATAAAAAAAGAAGGTCATTCTTATATCCCCCAGAAAATAAAATAGTATTTAATGCTTCAAACCATTTTCTAAATGATGCCCTTGTGTCCTCAATGCAATTGCAGCCCTTTAATAAGCTTCACTTAATAAATACAACTCCTAAGATTTGAGAGAGCTCATATAGCAGTTGCATGCAGAACTTATTTCCTAGGGCATGGATAACATAGACTCAAAATTGTAATTTGTCATATATACTACAAATGTAATATACCATGACAATTTTTTCATGTAGATACCTAATTGTCCCAGTCACATTTGTTGACATGACTGTCATTTTCCCCATTGAATTTTCCTGGCGCTTTTGTGGAAAATCAATTAATTGTATATGCGTGAGTCTATTTCTGGATTCTCTTGGGTTCCATTCATCTATTTACACCAATGTTACACTATCTTGATGACTGTAGAGCTTCTTAGTAATTCTTGAAATCAAGTAGTGAAGTCTTCCAATATCCTTTTTCAGGATCATTTTGGCTCTTCTATATCCTTTGCAATTTCACATTAACTTTACAACCAGCTTGTAAATTCTTTTAAAATAATCCTACTGGAATTTTGACTGGATGGCCGTAACTTTAGAGAGGGTAGACATAATAATAATATAGAGGCTTCCAATCCATGAACAATTTACCATTCCATTTATTTAGATATGTAATTTCTCTCTATAATATTTTGTAGTTTTCATTGTACAGGTTTTGCACATTTTTTGTTAAATTTATTTATTCCTAAGTAGTTTACACTTTGATTTTCTTGTAAATGGTATTATTTCTTAGTTTTATGTATGGCCCAGTAACATAAGATATATCTTGATGAATGTTCAATGTGCACTTGTAAAGAATGTGTACTCTACAGTTATTGGATCATCTAAATATGTCAGGTCAAGTTGGTGA